TAGAAAGGCTCGCATAATTTATGCTCTCTTTTATGTTTATTATTGAGCCAAAACAAATAAAAAATTTAGTGTGGATTATTGTTAAGATATTTAGGATTTTTGCACGACCTTATAGAGACTCCCTGCTCTCTGCGCATTTTTCACTTGATAAGGCATAAATTAATTACAAGTATAGAAGCCTCTACAAATTTTTATCAATATCTTATATCCTATGTCATAATGAATACCATATACAAGATTCACAAAATATTGTGCAAAACAATGCATTACAATTAGTAAAAAATACCAGGATGACAAAATTTTTATTTCGCCTTTCGAGCATTTATTAACAGATAAAAAATAATCACATAAATGAGCTTAAATGTACATAATTTTAATATAGTTTAATCATATTAGAGAATATTTTTGTTGATCAAAATGTAACAAATTAAATAAAATATCTTTACGCTAGTCAAAAGATCGTAAGATAAAAAGTAGATTCAATAAATACTTAAACCTTAAAATAAAAATAAAAGAACTTAAAAGTAAAGTAAAAATTATTTTAAATAATATTATGTATACCAGTTTTTTAATGTGGTGGCGAGATATCTGTGGTGATTCCGGCGCATGGATCGGTTTACCTCAAACTATGGCTGCCCTAATTGACTAATTTTTAAGTATTTGTGAAATATCTTTCCTAAGAATCGTGGAATTTCGTGATATTTTGTTTTATTCCTTTGATATCAAACAAATAACTTAATGGCAGGAATGATGTTTTCACAATCCCTTGCTCGGGCTGAAACGTTTCAAGACTCATTGGTTCTTGACCTTGTACATAAAGAAAAGGTACCCTATTATTTTCTGCCTAATTAATCTCTAGGTTGCTCCTAGCAGATATCATATCGCTGCAAAAAATGTTTTTCGAAATATGATTAAAACTCCAAATTTTTGTGATTGGTTTGTATATGAATGGTTTTATTCGTCTGTGGACAGGTACTTTTACGTTCATCTGACGCCTCAGAGAGATATTCCTTGGTTTTAATGATTTCCAACTCATAATGCGTGAACATCTTCCGTATCTTAAGGCCAAAAAGCTAACTAGAGGGCAGTGGTCTTGTATTAGAAGAATAATAGGTCGCCCTCGGCGTTTTAGCTCAACCTTTTTAGAAGAAGAACGTCTTAGTGTTCAAGGAAAACGGAGAAATTTAAGATTTTTACAACAATTTACAGATATAGATGCAGAAACCCCCGATGTCTCTGAACATTTAGAAGCTCTTCTCTCCTGTTTGCCCTCGTCCGTCAATATCCCTCCTCAACTTCGAGTTGGCATTAAAGTTTGTGTCAGGTAGGCCTTATCCTTAGCTCATGGTGTTCATTATCTATCAAACCTTGCTACTCTTTACTTATCCTCTACATATAACTCCTTTTAGGTTGTATAAACCAGTTCGTGGGCTTTATTCTGGCATAATTCAAGATGTTGATACACCTCAAGGAAGCTATGGTGTATGGGTCGAAAATGTTATTTTTTCTGAGTCTTCGAATTGCAATGCTATTGATCCAAACAGACCAATTGGTTATAAGTTAGTTATGGAAGAAGAAATTTTCCCCCTTCCTGGCAATTGTTTGTCTCAATCAACTCCCCTTTCAGAAATCCGTAACAGGTTTTCTATGCGTAGCATCATGTCTGACGTAGTGTTTCCAGTGCATTCTCAACATGAATCAATCAATGGATCTCTAAATGCAAAAGAGGATGGTTCCGGGGGAAATCCCATGAGTATTAACTACAGTACAGCCTTGGTGTCTATGCGATCCAATTATGAATCTGGTTTGTAACTTCTTTTATAAGTTAACATTAATTATTTTCTCATCCGTGTCTAGTATAAATTCTTCTGGTTCGGAATCAAGCTACTGAGCTTTTTTATTTAAAAATCGAAGCATCTTTTTCTTATGTGTTATCTCTAATTGTGATTTGTTTGCGAGCTTCTATTTATTCGTACGACCAAAAAGTTTTGACTCATTGATTGAGTCTCTTTTTTTGTCCTTACTGTTTGGTGTCCCAGATGGACAGTCAAACATGATAAGTAGATGTTTATAGTTAGCTTTTTCAAGACCTCGTGCGAATGACCCTGCAGTATACCAGAAATTATCTTCTTAGGGAGTATGTTTTTGAGATTATTAATTGATCTTGAATAATAAATCTAAGGTGGTGGCTTGATTTGGGAAAAATTCAATCAGCCTCTTCACTAAGCACTATCATAGTTCTCATGATTACAGCTGACTTAAATTCGTCTCAATCTCTATTAGGACTTTTAAATTAACTAAAAGTATTTGTTCCAATATTGGTAAGTGTTATTGAAGCCTTATTATATAGCGCCTCCCATCAGCAAAATTCTCCCTTTGTTCTTTTCTCAACTTTTTTTATCTTGCTAGTTAGTATACCCGATAAAGCATGCATTTATTGTCGCTTACTACGTCATAATAACATATCTATTCC